TAAAAATATAAATATATTTTAATTTATATGTTTAATAGAAATTTCTGCTATGATTTTTCACTTAGAAAGGGTTCTATGTCTAAACGGAACAGTGTCAGCCTAGACAGTGACAACCTAGGCATCCCTTGCTGTACATTACCATCAGCCTAAGGATCTATACTTAACCATTGCTGATTTATGGCCAAACTGAGAAACAGTGGAGATCAAGAGCAGTATAACTAGTGCTTCGTGATTCTATTATGCTGCAGTAAAACGTGGCAATTGTGATCAGATAGTATCGGACAACATATCTTTAGAGAATCTAAACAAATATGATGTTTACTTTGATAGAAATCATTAACAGAATCTATGGAGAGCCTTAAATTACATGCTGCGTTGTTTAAATATGAGCTGAAAACTAACTTTTTGCTTCAGGAGGCCTTGATTTAGAGTCCTGAAGGGTTTTACACAGGAACAGATTTTTACAATGGTATATTAAGTTGGACAGACGTTTTAGCAGTCAAGAGAGATGCTAATCGCAGTTTGAGAAGAAACATCCTTGCTGCAGTTTGAGAAGAAAATCCTTGCTTGTTCTAAGACTGGATGTATTCTAAGACTTTAAGTGTATATTTAAGTGTACTTCAAGGGCACTTTAAATGCATCTAAGACTTTTAGTGTATTGTGTAAGGATTTGGTATCTTAGTTTTGACTTTTCAGTAAATAACTCTATATGTGTTTGAGTTGTAAAAGAAAAGAATGTAATTGGTATTTATTTATCTTGTTTCATGTTTCATTTTTTCAGACCTTAGTAAATTTGTTATCTGCCAGAGACATCAATGTGCTTTTGGGTGCCCTCCTTGCTCTGACTAGCCTAGCAGAAAGGTAGGTTCAACTTAACATGCTGTATTTCACAATAAGCATTTTAATGTTATCTCTTGACACAGTGTTAAAACTAATTTTTATGAGGAAGACTTCTTTTTTTTCAAAATGAACCTTGTTCTGTGGAGGTCTGTGAAGTGTGCTTAATTTTATATTGAAGCAGTAGAAACTAAGTAGAAACTTTGGCCCTTGCAGCAGACTTCTTGCTCATGTGGAGAACTTTGCAAGACTGGAGTCGCAGAATTTCTCAATCCGTGTGCAGGATTCTGGAATTCTTACTGACTTCCTGCATATAAAAATCTTCTGTGCTGAGCTTAATATGACAGTGCCTCACAATAACCAGCAAGAATTTGTTCAGTGTAGTAAATATCGAATGCATACCCTCAAATCCGTGTATATGTATCCTCTCTTCACTCATGACTGTTTCAAATAAAGTTAGGACTTTGTTTTCCTAGTGTGGGGAGAAAAAAAGGAAAAGGAAGATACAGCATCTTTTATCCTTAATGGTTTTATAGAAGAAAAGCTGCTGCTTCTACACTTTTGTTCTGCTGACTTCCAGACTTGTGTAACAATTTTATTGAAGAGAATGGATACAATTCCTTGAGATCAGTAGAAATTTATTTACTAAGATTTCTCTGGATTTTCTCTTTCCCAAATTTCTTTCATTCTATTTCAGTTTAATTTTTTTTAATACCTGTATTAATTTAAATGATATTATATATACGTTTTCAACTTCATTTAACTTTCTTCACAGAATTCAATGTGTTACATTGGACTGGGCAAGAAAGTCTTTGGAGTATATTACAAATATTTATGGAAATTGTAGTTGATTCTAAAAATGTACCTCACTTGCTTAATTTCTAGTACGAAACAAATGAAATACATTTCTGTCTTTACTTTTATGTGTTCACATTTACTTTTTTTGTACAGGGAAAAATTGGAAATTGTTGCACTGTCACTCTTGACCCAGCATATTTTTGTGGCTTTAAATATTTGTGTGTACAATATGATATTATTACTTAAGACTTGAGAAGAAAATAATTGGTCAAATGTATAAGGAGGGAGGCTAAAGAACAATGTGTTTTTTTCATATAATTTAATTTGATATAAATGCCAGGAATAATCAATTTGTAGTCCAGAATGTAGGGAGAAGATAAGTGAGCTCACCATTGTTGAGAACTTGCTGGTGATATTACATGAATACGATTTGCTTTCTAAAAGGTGAGACTTCGCTTGTAGATTAATTGTCTTAAAATATATTTTGACTTTTTCATTTAGGGACATGTTTATTTAGAGAAATTAGCTAATGTGCCATGTTAATATACTCAAGGTAAAGTTCCGACACCTATGTGTTTTCAGTCAGGTATTCATATAGCAAAATCTTTTCTAGTAGTTTTGTTATAAGCTCTCTCCTCTCTCTCCACTGATGCCCTACAGTGCAGTGCAAATAAATTGCTATGTTACCATAAAGTGATAGCAATCGCTTTTCTTGGTGCATCTCCTCTTTGCTCCTGGCAGGCCTGGGTGCTTAGATGGAAAGCACGCTGGACTGTGACAGTTCCTGGGATGCCCAATATAAACTAGTAAAAAGTTGCAAGATGTATAGCTGTTGTAGAGTTTATGCCAGAGGCTGGGTCAGACCCCGCATCCCTTCAGTCAGAAAATCATGAAGGTTCCTTCAGTTCTTTAAATGTCCTTTCGTCTCAGCTAAGACTCCTAGCTGAGCATAGTATGTCTGCCTTTCAGTAAGAAACCAGAAGGCTTGCAAATTTGATAATGTCACTTATCCTATCACATTTAAAATTCTGAAGAGACCTTTTAAAATTTCATGCTTAATTATTTCACACATGTGAATTGTTTTACATATAACTAAACATACAGAAATTGAATTTACCAAAAGATTTTATTTAGTTTCTGGGTTTGAAATTATTTAGATTTACGTAAACCAAAAGTTTGTTATAAAAACTGGAATTTGAATGTAGACAGGAAGCTGATGAAGTTCAGTGCTATTAAGCAATTAAGAATAATTTTAAATTCAGATATGAACCTAAATTCATGTTTCATCAAACACACATGCACCTGTTTTGCTTCAAGTGGAAATGGAAATCCCTAAGCATATTTTCTATGGAAAGTCCACCTTAATTGAAATTAAGTTAATGAAAATCTTGTATAAATCTTTTAAATGATATATCCGATCCCTTTTCTAAACAAAATATTCATACCAGAGAAGAATCACCGTTATTTGTGGAATTATTCTGATTCCACAGAGGAACTTTACAAGTTCTTGCAGTCAGTGCTACTTGTAGTACTAATGCCATTCACAACAAGGTGGAACCATGGATGACTGCAGTCCGCCTGGCCACCTCCATCCTGGCTGCGTGTGCTTGGCTGCCTATGCTGCCAATCAAACTCAATGTAAATGTAATTTCATCCTTTGTGAAAATTTGGACCACCTTCTTCTTCTTTTTTTTTAAACAGTGACTTTAACTAGTTTACAGTGCCTTTAAGCAGTTTTGTTTAACTTCTTTTTTTATAGGAGGTCTCTGTTCTTTCTTAAACATTTGCTGTGTTTTTTTTCCCTTTGCTAACTGACAATACAAAGTAACGATGGAGTTTTACTGTTAAAATTTCTTGCTGATTTTTGGTTTTTTAGGCTCACAGCAGAATTGCTACGTCTCCTCTGTGCAGAGGCACAAGTCAAAGAGCAAGTAAAAATGTATGAAGGAGTTCCAGTCTTGCTCAGTTTACTCCATTCTGATCATATCAAACTTCTATGGAGTATAGTTTGGATTCTGGTACAGATTTGTGAAGATCCTGAGACTAGTGTGGAAATCCGGATTTGGGGTGGAATCAAGCAGCTCCTTCATATATTACAGGGGTAGGTTTTCAGTCCTCAACTTTGTGGCAATTATATGAGACTGTTTCATAATTTAAGATAGATTTGACCAAGCCCTGTTTTATCAAATAGCATCTTTGTTTTGTTCAGCTGTATGTGATGACTGCAGAAATTAAAAAGCTATTTAGAACACAATAAATAAGCAGATATTTTTTTTTCAGCTATGCATATTTCATTGTTATCTTAAGGTGTTTTTCGTATTTTTAGTGTATAAACTACATAATGAATAGATTATAAATGTCATTAATGTCTACTTAGTTTCCCTATTAGTCAGACACCTATTTAGTGAGCTAGAATTGTGAATATAATTGATGAACGTGGTAAAAGAATTTTCCATTTAAAGGCTTGTTTGCTTTTTTTTACACTGCAATTTGAGTTTGTGGTTTTTTTGGTTTTTGTTTTTTTGGGTTTTTTTTTTTTTCAGGGAAAGAAATCTTGTTTCTGATCGCTCTTCAGTTGGAAGTTTATCTAGTGCAAATGCAGCAGGGAGAATCCAACATCTTCATTTGTCAGATGATTTGAGTCCTGATGAGATGCAAGAAAATACTTTCTCACTTCAAGCAGGTAGGTTTATAAGGCCTAATCCTCTGTTATGTGTTTGCTTACATATGTGCAAAGGAATTCAAAATATTTCAAAATTGAAATCGTAAATTTTTATGCTTGCTTTAAGGAGTAGGAGCATCAAGTCAGCTGTATTTATTTCTAAATGTGCAATACCAGCACATATTTTCAAAAAGAACTCTTTTTTTAGAAAGAAGCAAAGGACAAAGTATTAAGTACATGGGAATCATATATATTTCTTCCACCTGTCAATAACATCTGAAACACACACACACACGCACACATATATATATATTTAATTTTGGTTTTAGCCTGAGGTTATTTTTATTTGATTGTATTTTTCCCTCTATTCAAATTTACTGTGGTAGATCAGTCATGAACTGATTATGATGGAACCCTTTCAAAGTGGTGTTTTAAAGACTACCAGTCAGGCGAGAATTCCTCAGTAGTTATGGAGAGAATCCCTTTTAGAGGAGATTTCTCAATAGCATGTCAACTGTCCATTCTGCAATGCCTTCTGGAGGATCATGTCTTTTTCCAGTGACTATAGAAGGACAATGCAAAATAACCTTACTAGGATTACATAAGCCTTTGCAGTATCTTCCTGAAAGCAGTAACATAATACGTAAGTGTTTTTGAACAATTTATCATGAATGTTACCTCTGAAGAGCTGGTAACGTGAAATAAATTGCAGTACGAAAAGTATTGCCCGCATGGGCATATTTCTGTGTTACTTCTGCCTTCCTTAAGGACTCCTAAGAAAGAGTGAGCACTGAACTTACAGAGGTCTTTCTTAGTTCTGACTGAATACTTGTTTATGTTTTTAGCCTTCGGTGTTGGATGTAGGTGGCAAGGTTTTGTTAGCAGGGGGCCCGCAGGGGTGGTCTCTGTGGGAAGAGGTAAGGGATTGCCCTGTGCTGGACACAGTTGGTTCCAGCCGGCTCCACAACAGACCCACTGTGGGCCAAAGTTAAGCCCATCAGCAAAGCCGGTGGGGGCATCTGTGAAAACATAGTTAAGAAAGGTCAAAAATTCTGGGTGAGCAGAGGAGGAGAGGGGAGGAAAAAAAAGGGCGTGAGAAACAGCAGTGCAAATACCAAGGTCAGAGAAGGAGTGGGAGGAGGTGCTTTAGGCAGCAGAGCAGAGATTCCCCTTTAGCCAGTGGGACAGACCTCAGTGGAGCCGGTATTCACGCTGCAGCGTGTGGAGAGAACCCACGCTGGAGCAGGGGAGAAGTGTGAGGAGAAAGGAGGAGCAGAGTGGAACTGTTAGGTACTGACTGTAACCCTCATCCACCAGATCAAGGTAGAGGAGTCAGGAGTGAAGAAGGGAAGATGAGTCTGGGGGAGAAAAAGGATGGAGGGGGGAGAGAAGGTGGTGGTTTAATTTTTTGTCTTTGTTTTTTTTGCTATCAGAATCTGTTTTAACTGGCAAAAAATTAAATTAATTTTCCCTAAGTCAAGTCTGTTTTGCCTGTGGTGGTAATTGGTAAGCAATCTCCCTGTCTTTATCTTGACCCATGATCTTTTCTGTCCGTTTCTCTGTGCTGTTAAGGAGGGGGAGTGAATGAGCAGCTGGATGGGCATTTGGCCCTTAGCTAAGGTTAACCCACCACGCTATCTGAATATGTTTATGAACCTGGTCCTAAATGTTACATCTGAATTCTGGTTCTAGCTTGTTGTGCTGCAATTACTGAACTGGTGCTCAACGAGACTAACGCTTACCAGGTTGTACAGGTAGGAAGACTTTATTCAGTTAAGCAAGGCATTATAGTTTATAATTTGACTTAATTGTTCTTATTTGTCACCACCATTTAATTAACAAACAAAATGCATTTGAAAGGGATTGGAAAATATGCCTTTCTGTAACTTTTGTATCTCTGTTTCTTTGTACATTTACACACAGAGACATAGACACAAAGATATCAACATACGTATCTAGTTATCTGAGAAAATAAACAGCCTTATTCAGACAAAGTTCGTCTTGGTTGGCATCTCTTGCCATGCTTTTGCGATATTCAAAATAGGATAGGGATAGTAAATTAATCATTGAATCAACTGAGAAATACAAATTCTGAATTTCATGAAGTTTATTAGAACAAACTCTGTGCAGCTTGGTATTGGCGTGTTGTTGTTTCACAAACAATTTCTCTTTTCCTCAGAGTTTGGTATTTCTGAGAACTTCCTGGCACTCCATCCCCAGGGTTGAGTTTCTAAACTACATTTCAAAATGTAATATTTAAATCAGCTAGAATCTATGGTTCTGAAAACCATTCTTAAAATCCCTGGTATGTATTCCAGACATAGTCAAAGACACAAATATTTAGGACATTAATATCAGCTGAAAGCTGTAGCCAGCTTTTATACTCTAAGTGTTAAGTCAGTGATCAAAGTCTTCAAGTTAACTTAAAACACGACTAGAGGTATTCCTAGAGGAATCGAGAGAATGAAGAACCTTAAATGTGACTGGGAAAGAAGTTCATCTATATTTCAAAACTATTGGTTAAGAGGAAACGAATGGAAGTAAGTCTAGAAAAAAATGTATCTTAAGCACTAAAACGGTCAATAAACCATACTGATTTAGATAACTTTTTATGTGAACAATATAACTGGATACGTTTGAGGCTGAGTCTCATTTAATCAAAATAAAATATCACTTATTTAAATTGGATATATTTTGAAAACAGTATAACTCCTGGAGGACATGGGAAATAAAAGGCTGATTTTAACATAGAGTTTTTATGCATTGCTCTAGCAGTGCATGATAATGGTGGTGTCAGTAAATTGCTTAAAAATTGATGGCATCATGTACAGGCTGGGAAAAGATTTTTCAAGCTTAACTTCTTCCCCCACTTGTCCCGTTAAAAACCGTTAAAAGACAATGACCTCTCCCTTTGTCAAAACACCAGCCAATGGCCCCTTTGAGATCAGGACGTAGCTTCAAGCATGTTCATGTCAACTGGAATTCCTACCCTACAACAGCCTCTTTCATTTAAAATTCTACTTCTTTCTCTGCGCTGATACAACTTTGAGAGTTGCATGATGAATGAGATGAAGGAACTCACTTGGGTTAAAAACAGATAGAGGAAGAAGATTGGCAGCTCTTTCAGTTCTGTGCTGAGAAAGTCAATCTAAGTGACCTCTAAAGGTTTATCTCATTCAGTGGCAAAGGATTCTTGGTTCAGGCAGTTGAGAACCATTTGCTTCTGCTGTAGCTCCCCTTTGCCTTTCCAGCCTGTGTCCTTGTCTCAACTTACAGCCTTGCTGGCAGTCTGCAGCAATTCTGTTAGCAGGCCAGAATGTGTTTATGACTTGATGGCTCTACTGCACAACCTAAAACCTTAGCTCAACTCTACCTTCATGAACAGTTTAAGAAAACGTGCCAGGAACTGCAGCAGAGCCTCTGCAGAGCTGACATATATTCCCTGCAGCTCTGCTACAGAGGAGAGTAGTTGCCAAGAGGGAGCTTGGCAAGTAACTGCGAGCAGTACTGTGACTAAACCTACCAGTGCCCATCTATCAAACCAACGTGATGGACACGTTAATGGAGGACACATGGTTACGTGAAAATGGAAGCTGAAATACAGCATGGTTTTC